TGGCCAGGGGCTGCCTGGAGGCCTCCCCTGAGGCTGGGCCCTAAAGAACAAGTTTTAAGATGCAGAGTAAGTGTTTCAGACAGAAGAAACATTGTAGACCTTGGATCAAGAACCAGAGATGAGACCACATGGTGAGGCTGTGGGGCTGGCAAGGTGAATGCAAGCTCTTCCTCTGTGCCAGGCTGCTCACCTTGCAACTCTTCCAGGATGGCCTGAGTAAAGGCTCAGTAGAGAGTATAGCCTGTCCCTGCCACAGAGTAAGGAGCTGGCACAGTCACCCCCCCAGGAGACATGTAAGACCCACCTCAAAGGCCCACTCACCTGTTTAAAACCTCCGTAAAGCAGTGCTTCTCGCACCAGCATTTGGGGTGCAGCAGTCCTTTGTGGTGGAGGATGTGTAGGTTTCCTGGAATAGGCTCTAAATGCTCTGAACACCCCATCCCATCCCCACCCCAGGGCAGGAAGCCCCAGAGAAAACCACTGCTGTAGCTGTGGACCTAGGATTGGGACCTCTGACATAAACTCCACCCATGGGCCTCAGTCTCCTCATCTGTCACGTAAGGAAACAGAACAAGGCCACGAGCTTTCCCCTTTAGGCCCCCCCTAGAGTACCTGTGTCAGTGGCCAGCACGTCCACCCTCGCTACCCCAACCAGGCTGTCATCCATGCCCCACCCTGTTGCTTGTCACCCTCAGCTAAACCACCACTCAGTGTAGTTATTTTTCCCTCCTAAATCTCTCTAGCCTATTCACTCTGTCTCCCTGTCACCCCCATCTCGCTACTAAAAACGTACAGTTACTTCCTAGGTGGCCTCCCTGCCTCCATGTCACCCCGCCCAGTCCTTTTCAGGGCAGCCCAGGAGTCCCTTACAAGTAGAAATCGGACGGCTCATTTCCCTGCCCCAGTGCCCCGACCTCACAAACCTTGCAAGGCTCCTCGTGGTCAGGTTCCTGCTCGTCACTCCAGCCTCTTTTTGTACCATATTCCTCTTGCCTGTGAACAAACGAGTTCCTCCCCTTAGATAATTACTCACTTATTTATTATTTACTGATCCGTGAGCTTCCTGAGGGCAGGGCCCATGTCTGACTTGAATCGTATCACTCCTGGCACCTGAAAGAGGCCTGATTAACATGGGACAGATGAGAGTGATCAGTGATCCTCACTGTTGAGTTTTCCCCTCCTCAGCTCTCGGAGGGAGAGATCCAGGTGCCCTGGGAGCTCAGCACAGGAGGAGGTGTCTCCAAAATGGGAGGTAGAGAGTGAAAGTCCTGGGATTTCCCCAGGGTAGGGGCCACAGGGTGCCAGTGGCAGGCAGGACTTTTCCGTTTTCTCCTAGAATGGATGGCCTACGGGAGGGGAGGGGTGGGAACTAGATACCAAGGCCAGCATTGAAGGTTTTGCTGTGGGGTCACTTGAGCCTGTTTTCTCAGGTTGCTGTGAGCCAGTCACGTGGCTCACCCCACAGAAGCACGTGGCTGCTCTGACCTTCATTCTCCCCTTTCCCCACCCAGTGCGTTGTGAGCGTGGCTGGCGGGGCCACCCGGGCTGCGCTGACCATGCACCAGGCCCGCAGAAACAACATGGCCGACGTGGCAGCCAAGGACGGCAGCCAGGTGAGCACCAGGCTCAGATGGTGGGGGGAGGGGGTGCAGGCCACATTTCAGGAGTGTGCAGACAAACCTCTGGGGTGTAGGGGCAGTGGGGAAACACACAGGAAGAAATATGGGTGCTCCCTGCTCTGGCTTATAGGACACGAGGTCAGGGATGAGGGTATGGGCTCTGGTGGTACCAAGTCCAAGCCGATCTTCTGAGCCCCTGCCTACTGCCTGTGTGGCCAGGAGCAAGCCTTCACCCTTACCCTCACCCTCTGGTGGCCATCCCCCCATCCTGGGAGCTGGATGTTCTAAGCACGTGAGATCCCACAGGGAAGGCACTTGGCATGTGGAAAGGTGCCCAGTGTGTGGGTTGTTGGAGTCACTGGCCAGAGACCTCCACTCAGCAGTTTAGTAGGCCCTTGTGGCCCAGCCTGTCTAGCTGACTAAGGACTGGAGAGGGAGTACGGACACGGCAAGACTGAAACCTACAGGTACTAGTGTTGTGGGGTTTCTGGGTTGCCGAGTTCAAGTCTTCATCAGGAAGAATTAGAGGCACAGACAATTGGAGGGGATAATAAAAACCAAATTTACCAAGAAAGAATAACTTCCAGGCTGGGAGGGGTCCCAAGAGAGCAGGCTGCCAAAGAAGAGCTGAAAGGGTTTTTGTCTCAGCAAGGAGGGACTTGTGCATACATTTTCCTCATGGTGAGTTATTGGCCAAGGCCTGTGAGGGACTTTCTAAGCCCTTATCTCTGTTAGAAAGTGGTGGGGCAGGAAGAGTTCCTGAGCTGTAAAGACCCTTATCTGTGTTCCTAAATGGGGCAGGACATGAAAGCCTCGGTCGTTTGCTCTATCTGCCCTAATTATCGGAGCTACCCTGGGAATCCTCATGGGTGCTTCCTGATGAACCAGCAGTTCAGTGAGCTGAGCAGCTGCTGAGCTGTTGTGTCTCCTTAAAGCTTAGCCATTTTGTTTCTCCACTTTGGGCCTATACTCTATATTTTAGTGTCCCTGGCTCCTACCTCAATATTAACACAAGTTAATACCTACTAAGTATTAACTGTGCCGAGTATTTCATTTCCCTGGACTCATTAGATCCTGCAGTGTTTTTGTCAGTGAGTACTCATCCTCGTTCCTTATAGGTGAGGAAAGCGTTGACTGCTCTAATCTCCCTGGGTGCCCTTGGGCAAGGCCCTTCTCTCGGGAAGTGATCAAACCAGTCCTTTGCCATTGTGGCTTCCAGCTCCACATCTAAGATCATTAAGGAGGGAGAAATATTCCAATCCAGGTCTTTTTCTTAGAGATCCCCAGGGTCATGCCTATTTTCTCTGAGCCCCTCTCTTCCTCCCACCCCAAGCTACTTTTTCCAAGGCTCCAGGCCTTCCTCAGTCCACAGAGACAGGACCCCACTGTAGAGTCAGTCTAGGGCATGGGCTCAGGCCTCACCGGGCACCTGCTTTCTGCTGATGTCGCCTTGTTACCTCTCGATGTGGCTGCTCCCGCCTGGGAGAGGTGCTCTCTCTGCTCCTGTGCCCCGAGTTTACTGCCACACTCTCAGCCTTTATTCTCCACCCCCCATACCCTCTTACGGATGGGCTGGATTTAAAAAAAGAGCTCTCACGCCCACTCTGTGCCAGAATTACTGGTCTCCCTGGGACCTCGAGAGTCAGGGGTACCACTCCGGATTCGTTCTCCCTCATGATATGTTGGGGGCTGGTCTTAGAGTCTTCCATGAGGGCAGCCTCAATCGAGCTGTCGGGGGTCTAACAACATTGATTCACGGGGAATGAGATTTGGGTCTTGTTTCTTTTCTTCCTGTGTCGTTCTCTGACTCCTTTGCAAATTCCTCTGCCTATTATTGCATACCAAGGTGTATGTGTGTGTGTGTGTGTGTGTGTGTGTGCGTGCGTGTGTGTGTAAGACTGACCTTTCTAAACCACCCAATATAAGTGCTACCCCACTTGCACAGTTGTGAGTACCTGAGCATGGAGCCTCTCGGGCGATTCTTACAAAACAAAGGAGACATGTTCAAGGGCATTCATTGCATCTACTGGGCAGAGTAGTAGCTGGCGTCTTTTCAATGAACTCACCAAAAATGTTTAAAGTTTACTTGGCAGGGCTGGCAGATGGTGTAATGGTTACATTGCTGGATTCCCATGTAGTTGACTGTGGTTTGAGTCCCAGACCTAGTGGCTTAAAACTCATGCTGGGCACATGTGGGTGTGTGCCCAAAATCCCACGAGGAGAGTGAAGCAGAAGCGATTGTGGTGTGGCCATCCCCCCTAGGGGGTGATTTCTTACTTTCTGTCTCTTTGTCTCTCTCAGTCTCTCTAGTGAGTACACACACCCTATACCAGAAATCTCTCTCATAAAAAAAAAAAAACGTTTACTTGGTATCCCCATCAAAGTAGAAGCCCTAGAAGGTTCTAGAGCAGGGAGGAATATGGTGAACAGTGCTCAGGAATATGCCTGGAGGGGAACTCTCAACTTGACCCCTCTGCCATTTCAGGAGACTCTGGTGAACTTAGCAGGACTCCTGGTCAGCCTCTTGATGCTTCCGCTGGTGTCTGATTTCCCTAGGTAAGCCAGGAGCAAGGGCAGGGAGGTGATGCCCAAATGGGCCTTTGTCCCCATTGGCCTCCTCACTCTCTTGCTGCAGTGTCAGCCTCGGATGTTTCTTCCTCCTCACTGCCCTCCACATCTACGCCAACTACCGGGCAGTCCGGGCCCTTGTTATGGAGACCTTGAATGAAGGCCGACTCCGGTTGGTCCTGAAGCACTTCCTTCGGACAGGAAATGTGCTTGACCCCACTTCAGCCAATCAGATGGAGCCACTGTGGACAGGTGACCCAAGTCCTTGGCCTCGAGTGCTGCTACCCAGCCTCTCCCTAGCCTGACCATCCTGACTCCAGCTTCCCACAGGTTTCTGCCCATCTCTGTCTCTGTCCCTGGGGGTCCCCCTACACCGCTTGATCTCCAGGTGAGTGACCCATGTCTCCCGCTCGTCACTGCTGCTACCCACACTCCTGACGCATGCTCCCGATTCAGCACACACCGGCCTCCCTGGACCAGATCCTATCTCTGTTCTAGTGTCTCCGTTGCCACTGGACAGACTTGGGAGTCAGCATGGGTGCTTGAAGGCATAGGATATAGCAGAATAGACAGACGGAATGTGTTGGATGAAGGAAGCGTGGGAGGGGGGAGAATGAATGACTGGATACAGGAAGAAAGGGAGGGTGGATGGGGAGTCTGGGGTAAATGGGAAGTGAGTGAGGGATGGGCAGTTCTGGGTAGCAGTAGGCAGCTCTTCAGGTGATTGGATGGGCACCTTCGCTCCCCACCCCTCACCGCACTCACTCCTCTCCCTCAGCGTCTCGGATCTGCAGCAGCTGGTTGAGGGGCACCAAGAACCCTACCTCCTTTGCTGGGACCAGTCACGAAGTGAGTGTGCCACATTTTCCCAGCCTTACACTGAACTCCTTGGACCGTCATTCCCCAGCTCCAGGGCCCTAAACTTAGAGGCTCCCCAGTGTCCTGGAGGGTGTTCTAGACTAAGGCTCTGATGTGCTCAAATAATAGCTGTATGCCCCAGTGACAGTCATTTGTCCCTCTGTGTCACAGAGCTAACAGTACCTACCTGTGGTGTTTTTATCAGGATCAAATACAGTGACTATGTAAAAAACCCTTGGCACACTGCAACACCTTACTCAGATGAGATAGTGGCCTTCGGCTGTCCCTGGGGAATCTCTTTTCTCTCCCATCCTGGGTTACCTCTTGGGGAAACAAGTCCTTGAGTTTACTGGTCTGTATGGTTGTTTGCTAAAAGGCAGGTTATTCTTACTAGCTGTTAAAGAAATGTAAACTATACCCACCTCACTGATCTATTGTGAAATTACATTTGGAAATGGCATAATTTCAGTTTGGTAAGAGCATTGGGGAGCAACGGAGAAGACAGGGAAGGAAAGGGTGAGGTGAGGCCCTCCCGTGCCAAGCTAAGGCCTCTGGGAGCAGGGCGACAGGGTATGCGTGTTTGGTGAAGAAGCCCTTTCCTGATACAGCCTGTCCCTGGGTCTCTCTAGACCAGGTGCAGGTAGTTCTGAGCCAGAAAGCAGGCCCTGAGACTGTCCTCAGGGCTGCCACACACGGGCTGGTGCTGGGAACCCTGCAGGGAGATGGGCCTCTCCCAGGAGAGCTGGAGGAGCTGAGGAACTGGGTGCGGGCAGGTAAGAGCCTCGCGATCTAGAGTGCTGATGGCTTGGCGTGGGGTTGGAGGGTGGATTGTCTGTATTGCTGGAGGATCCGAGAGCTGGTTCTGCATCCCACCCCAGGTCCTGAGAAAGATAGCCGGGTCATTGTCAGGAAGATGCACCAAGTGTTGGACACGCTGTTCCCAAAGTTCCTGAAAGGTAACGTCCTTAAGCCCCACAGCTCCTTGGCCTCTGAAGCCTTCTCCCCAAGGGCCCTGCCTGCCTCCACCCTTACCTCACCCACACCTGGAGTAAAAAACCTGGGTTCTTCTGTGCTTCTAAGTCTGGTACCTGGGGAGGTTAGGAATGTCTCTGAGGCTGTCGGTGGTGACAACTTGTAATCCCAGCTGGCGTTTAGAAAATGGAGGGGGGTGAAGGGGTGTGGGCTCACATTTATTGATGGTGACATTTTATTTAGCACCTACTCCATCCCAGCCCTTTCCTGTGTCCTTTCTCAATGAAATCTTGCTGCAGTCAGATGAGGTTTCAGCATCATTTTATGCCAGAGAGAGCACCCAGTAGAGGAAAAGGGAGCCCACGTGGTTCCCAGAGCCTTCAGCCAGCCTGTGCCTCTCTTCCTCATCTCCCTAGGACTGCAGGATGCTGGCTGGAAGACCGAGAAGCACCAGCTAGAGGTGGATGAGTGGAGGGCCACGTGGTTTCCATCTCCAGACAAAAAAGTCTTGTGAGCAGCCCAGAGCCCAGGGTAGCCTGGAGCAAGGACACTTCGGCCATAGCAGGGTGTGGGAAAAGCAGCTTTATTTTTGCTTAGAGAACTGCTATGGCAGGTTGGCCAAGGCTCCATGGGAAGTTCCTGCCAATGAGATGGACTGGGCCCCCGGCAGAGATAAGGCAGAAAGAAGAGGATCCAGGGACTCCCACTCCCACCCCTGCCCTTCTCCTTTCTAGAAACCACTGCAGGCTCCCTACCCCACTAATTTGAGGTTGAGCCCTGCCCTAGCTATGGCTCATGGTGTTCAGCACAGTTGGCTTAGGCATAAAAGCCCCAGAGGAACATGGCCACGGCCATCATGAGCAGGGCATTGAGGTTGACCACCCGGGCCCAGCTCGGGTCCTCGCTGATGTCCTCCAGCCGCCTGGCTGCTGCAGCCGCCTCCTCCTGGGTAGGGGGTGGAGGACTGCCTGCCCCACCTCTGCTCATTCCACAGAACCAGAGCAGGCACTGGCGGAACAGGCCTTGCGCTGGGGGCTGGGACTCTGGGAGAAATTGAGGCCCTACAATTAGTCTGCTGGAACGTGGAGTCCCAGCCCAACCTCCCTGGGTAGCGCCTTACCCTCCATTTCCACTGCATGCTCTGGGCACCCATTCTGTATGGGGAGTGAATTCTGGTCTTCTCGCTCATCGGCGTCCAGGTCCTCCCGTTCCTCCTTGCTGTGCCGGAGACTGTAAACCAGGCGGTGGAGCTGGGGCAGGGTAGGAGCAGAGACCAAGTGAGAGCTCTGTTTCCCCACCTCAGGCCCTGTGCTCTCTTGTTCACACTACACTAGCACAGCCTTGTCATTGTCCTCCCTAACCTCCCTCAAACTTGGCCTTTCGTGGCTGCCCTTGGCCCTCAGGCTAAACCTCAAGCTCGTCACCTGAGTGTTTGAAGCTATCAGAGCTGCTCATCCCATGCCCCATTCAAGTCTCCTGTTCACAGTCAATTGTAATACCTGAGACTCTGGTCTTAACAGTCCTGCTAACACAGTGTTCCCTCCTGTGCTGTTTGCTCAGTTTCCTCCTGCCTCTGTGGAATCCTGCCCCTGTTTCCATACCCAGATCTTTTGTCCTGTGACCCTCCCCCCCATAAGCTCTGCCGTGTAGCAGCACAAGCCCTCACCCTTTTGTGTGCTTTCAAGGTGGTACTTAGTTCCTCTTGACCACCAGTTAGACCCTGTGTTTTGAGTCAAAGGCCATGCCAAATATTGACTTTTGAGTGTGTGTGTGTGTGTGTGTGTGTGTGTGTATTTTTGGTCACCAACCCACCAAAATCAAATTGCTCCCTCTGGCCACTTCAGATTACTTAAATAAAAACGTGCTTACTTTGCAGATATCAATAGAACTTTAGACTGGTCTTTCAGCCTGCTCTTACCAACCTTCAGCATAGACATTCAGATTCTCCCTACTGGACAGCCACAGGCCAGGGTGGGGGTTGCTGTGGCCCACACTGTGTGCGCCCAGCCCATACGGAAGCCAGCACTCACGTGCTTCTGCGGGATGGGCGCAGTGCACAGTGAGACTATGAGGGTGAGGAGGCCAGAGCAGACGAAGAGCACGATGGCAAAGTAGAGGTAGTGCACGCCACAGAGGAGCGCTGGGCATGCCGAGGGGCGCACACAGCTCCCCGAGCCGAAGGAGAACTCTGGGATGAGGCGTGCCAGGCCCATTAGCAGGCCCCCAATCAGTCCCCAGAAGGCACCCTGCAGGGGAGACCGAGTTAGCCTACTGAGGATGTCCACGGCCTGCCCTGCCCCAGCTCGCAACATACACACAGCCCACCTTCTCATTCACGCGGGGTACAAAGAGCGCCAGCACGAAGACGGCGGACACGGGCGGTGCCAGGTAGCTGGAGACTGCCTGGATGTAATCAAAGAGCTGCCCGCCCTGTGCTGCCTGCACCACGGGGAGCCAGGCCACCGACACTGCCACTATGAACACCACCCAGAGCCTGCGGTGGGAGGCCATCGGAGGTTTTACGCAGGACTCTCAGAACCCAGCGGGTGCTCCATGCCCCCCACCTCCGGCTGATTCGTGGGGCGGGAGGTGGGTAGGAACCCAGGCCGCACCGTCCCACTAGAAGAAGCTCCCGGTCCCCTGCGCGGGGCCGCAGGCGCGTGTAGATGTCCATGGTGAAAAGCGTGCTGCTGCTGTTAAAGATCGAGGCCAGCGAGGACATGAGCGCCGCCAGCATGACCGCCAGCATGAGTCCGCGCAGGCCTGCGGGTCGGGTTGGGCGAGGGGCGCCCCCTGCCGGCAGCACTGTCGCAGTGTGCCTGCGCCTGCAGGCCGAGAGCCCGCCCTCACCATTGGGCATGAGCTTCACGACGAGCCGCGGGTAGGCGATGTTGGAGCAGCCCACCTCGGTGCCGCACACGCGCTTACACACTTCGGGCACTACGCACGCCACTTCGTCTGCGAGAAAGATGCCACAGTGTGGCTAGAACCGGGCCTGGTCTGGGAACTAGGATCCCTGAAGTGGGGACTGCAAATCCTAGCAGAGGAAAGATGGGATTCCTGGTGGGAGGCAGGACTGGGCAACCGGATTCCCTATGTCCTCGCACGAGGCAGGAGCTGGATGGGGCACGGAACTTGGGCAGGAGGAGGCTGACGTTACCTGGGTACAGGATGCGGCTGATCATGCCCGGCATGACCATGAGGAACATAGGCATCAGCTTCAGGTAGCCGCACAAGATGCACCCGGCCTTGATGTGGGTCAGACTCTTCCCCGCCAGGCAGCGCTGCACGATGACCTGCGAGAGGGGCTTCCAGCTGCCTTCCCGCCGCCCCCGGCACCCAACGCACGCCAA